CTTCAAGCAGGTAGCCAAGGATTGTTTGGATGGGGAGCGTGCGAGCGAGATGGGAGTAGAGAGCATACTATGCAGCGTGCACTCAACGGGCCATGCATCAACCTAAAAAGTCAGCTGCCTTGCGCTTCTGTTGGGCTCACGGCTCTCTCGGGCCCCCACCCAGCCCTGGGCCATCCCTTGGTGCGCACAAAGGGAAGTGAAGCGAAGACTGACGCAAGCACGTTGTCAGCTTCTCATTCTGTGCCACCTCGAAACCTTCACACCTCGCTGCAGGTTAGCCGCTGGCTAGAGAGCATCGACGAATATCCGCTCAGGTCGCTGGCCGCCAGTGAAGACAGCTTGTCATGCATATCATAAGCTTTCAACCTATCTTGCTATTCTCGTGGGAAGCGTGTGTCATACTTTCCGACTTTCGCGGAGCCTCTCTCTGTTGCATTGCTACGGCCTCCGGCATGGAGCAGCTGTGGTCAAGACGGTGGCAGCATTGGCAGATGTTCGTTTCACAGCGCGTTTCAGAAAGCCACCTGTCGTGCTACCAACACGGTACAAGCCGCAGCAGCCTGAGCAATCGCCATCATCATCATCATCCTCACCACCACCACCACCACCAGCAAAGGCAGCGGCAATAGTAGCACATCAGCAGTATCAGGGGTAGCCGCTGGCCAATCATCATGCCTGCAATGAGAATGGAAATCAAACCAAGCAAGCACGTCAGTGTCATTGCCAGGCCAGCTTCGTGTGATTCTACGGCTGGGTCACCAGCCATGTTCAGGCCTGCTTCTCTTTTTCTGCCAGACGAGCAGGATGTTGAAACGCTGCTTTACGATTTGGATAAAAGTCGAATGCGACATTATGCGATTCTGAGCAGCCTTCCTGCCAAGGCCAATCCTATAAGCAGAGGAACGAGACCCCAAAACGGTCCCCAAAAGCTTTCCCGAACCCTCCAACATCCAAGAGCAGGCGGCTTTCACTTTTCGCCTCGCCAGATCCCGACACGGCAAAGAAACGGGCAGCGCTGTTGCAGACCCTCCAGGAATGGTCAGAAGCCTTCCCCTACTGTTTGGGGTGGTATCTTTAAAGAGGATCGGTGACTGTTTGGGGGGGGGGTAGATTATTAAAGCAGGTCCAACATTAGGGCACGGGAACTTGGGCTGCGATGTCGGAGCCTAACTAGTCCCCCCACAAAAAAAACTGCTCCCGGCCCTAATTCAGTGCCCCCGAGTTGTTTTGCGCCCCCGCACTAATTACACCCGGACATGATGACATTTACATAAGCAGGGGGACCAGAAGAGGGAAGAAGATGGTCCTGGCCAACAAAGCCAGGCAAATCATGAGGCCTTGGCAGCCTTCGAGCTCTCTGTGCGGGCAGAGTGCTACAAACAGCCCTCACAATCGTCACTAGACCCTTTTGGATTCTCAATCTCTCCACGACCGCAAACTGCGTGTACTGCGTGTACCGAGTAGAGCCTTAATGCAAAGTGAGGATCTCGTCACCTCTTCTTCCTATCCTGCATATATGGTTCGGGAACTGGAGGACCGGTAAACCCTGGTTCCAGGGCAGATGCAACAGCGCAATGCACGGCATTAGCGAAACCAAGAGACCCAGCACAACTTGAAGCGGCTGTCTGCGGAGCACCTAGCCTGCAATGCAAATTGCTCCCTGATCTCGTGGCAACGCTGAAACCCTGGATGGTCCCACGCCCGCTGTACCAACGCACCGATGTCAGGGAACAGCATGGCCAAGACTACGGCTCCAGCTCCTTCGCCCTCTGCTGAAACTGCCTACTCCCAAACTCGCTGCAGATGATGTCGGAGAAGCTTGTGCTTCAAGTGTCCTAGCACAATCCGAGAATGATCCAGGATGCTGCTCATGATGGATATGTTGATATAGTCTGGGCACAAACCTTTGCGTGACAGCTCGCGACTGACTGATCACTGTGTCCTTGTTCGGCCATCTGCCTTTGGCAGTGGCTCAGACTCTAGTGTCCCTTACATAGACACTGGGCGAGCGAGCTTGGTTTCGTAAGGGTATTGACGGCGGGCGCATGAGGCTTCGAATGCAGGGTTCACACGGTTGGAGCACCTTGTTTGTGAAATCGCAAGCAATTATGCTGCAGCTGCACTCAAACACGAAACACTTCTTTCTACATTCGGGTCAGCACAGCTCAGCCCAGGACCCCACACGGCAGATGCCCTCCAGGCACTGTGCAAGATGCTCGCAGGGCCAAAGTGGCATCTCTCTACAACGCTTCGGCACAGCCACGTTTTGTGGCGAAGGAACGCTGCTTGTGGCGCTGAGCAATGCTATCGCCCGCACTCGAACTTGGCTCGGCGGCAGCCGGTGGCCTTGAGACAAGCCTGCGCAAACGCAGAATTAAAGTTGAGCAATCTGGACTCTAGATTTCCGGGTTGTCGGTCAGCTCAAGAGGCTGCTGCGAGCAATGACCACAACTACGAACACGACCGCTGTGCTGCTTGCGGCGGTATAGTATTCAGAAACTGTATAAGATTATATAAGGGTTGATCATGCTGCCCAGTCACCGTCAGAAAGCCGCGCCGCGTGAAGCTATCCTGGCCAGGGGAAGAAGTGCTTGCCTTCAGGTGACGGGGCAATCGCTTTGCTGGGGTGAAGGCGCAAGCCTTCCACAGTCCACTGGGCGGGAGGAAACGTGTTCAGCAAAGCCTACGCTAGCCTGAGTCCTTCAAGAAAGCAGGCCCTGTATCATGAAACATTCGCAAGAACTCTGCAGCTCACACAATCTGGTCGGAAGCTCCGGATGCTCTGGATCGATGATGCTCATCAGGTGCTTAGCCACCTGTGCTTGTCTGGCGGTCTAGCTCCGGACCAAAGATGCACCGCATGCATCTCGCATGATCTTTCAGGGCTGAGAGGCTCTTTGTACCCATCGCAGCAAAAGACTCAGAACAGCTGCAATATGCCATGCCTTTGGGCCATGGTCTGTGCATCGACCATGCCGTTGATGGCGGCATGCAACCATGGACTGTGAAGGTCAGCTGCGAAGCAATTTCAAAGAACTCGCAAATACGTGCCACCAGAGGTCAAGTAGCTTGACGAGGGGCCAAACAGCTTAGCAAAGCTTAGCTGATTCGACCGCCTCAGGGGACAGCAGCCCCTCCCGAAGAAGGTCACGTTCTCGGATGTGATCGTCCTGGCAGCTCTCCGCGGTCTTTTGCGTCTGCTGCGCACATATGCACAAACCTGCGAAACCAGCCCCTTGCCCTCGGAGACGCCTCATCGGCATCCAGCCTGGTGAAGAGATCATTCCTCACAATGCTCCGAGGAAAGAATGGAACTTCACATCACCTCTTTTGCCCTCAAACTCACACTGCCATCTTCTCCGAAGCTGAGTGCCCCTTGTGCTGACGCAGACACATCACCCAGCCGTGTCAAGTGGCTCGCAGCCATGCGATTTGCGATCTTCAGCTGGGATACACTGTGAAATTCGAAACAAGGCTCACAGAGCCTGAGCCTCACATCCCCCCTGTCTGAAAGCCGGCTTCGGAACCCTTAGCTTACGAGTATCCTCTGAAAGAGCAAAGACGACTCAAGAAGCCTCCTATGGAGCCCAAGTCGCCAGAAGAGCCACGTCGCCTCCGGAATCTCCGGCAGCAACGAGAAAGGCATGGGCCTTTCGAGACTGCGGTTCTCGAGCTCCCTCTTACTCTTTCCGAGATGGCGCTTCTTCTTCGCTATTTCCTGGACAGCCCCCATGCTGATGGCCCTAAACAATAATGAAGCCTGCGACCTCCTCAACTGTTGCAGAATCCCAGTCCCCGGAGCCCGGTCTCTCGGGTTGGGGATGGTTCTGACCAGGCACTTCAGCCTTACCTCCTTTGCCGCCTTGACGTCCTCTCGAGAGGGAGGCTTTTCGAGGCTGTTCTGAGCTCGGATCTGGTTCTGGGCTTGGGGGCTCCGTCGGTGCGCGTTTCACTAACCCTCGTAGCAAACGGCCCAGCTTCTAACCTCCAGCTCCCGTAGTAGCATCCAGAGAGCCAACAGTACTTACGGCAGACCAGCTGCTCCTCGTTCACTCTTAGCCTCTGACTAAAAATGTCCTGCTGCAAGACTGAAGCTTGCGAAACAGTTTCGACATCACTTTTCGCGTGCTGTGTGTCTCCCCATCATCTCCTCGGCGTAGAGGCCTTCTTCCGTAGATATCGCATCTTCCAGGTATCCTGGGCTGCCAACATATATCGATCCTAGCCTTAGATCTACTGGTAGATATGACTTGAAGTGTCAACCTGGGCACAGGAAAGCAGCCAGCAAAGACGTGCAAGCTCCAACAAAGCAAAGGACATGAGGGAGCTCTGGGAGGAAGCATCCGTGTTATGTTGAAGTCAGCACCTGCATGTCCAGACAATCACGCTGTATCCGAAAGCTGCACGTGCAAATGCAAGTCGACACGAAACGAGTTTAGGATCTCGAATACATGTTCCTGAAGCCACGGCCAAGAGGGTCCTTAGTCCTTACATCGTTTCCCCGCACGCAGAGTGGTACCACCTCGTCTCTTTGCGAGCAAAACGACGGATGCTGCCAGTGAGGAGCATGCCAAAAACGTCCCGGTCGGCGCCCTGCAAAGAACTCTCTTGCTTGCAACTGGGTGTACATTCTGCGACTAGCTCCATACTCAGCTCTAGAGACTCTCTCGGAGAGCTTGCTGCAATCTTCTTGGCATGGGAAGGGGGCCCAAGCTCATCTAGATGACCAGCATTGGTCTTTGGCACCACGTTAAGACTGGTAGGAGGTACGAACAAAAAAACAGAAACCACATGAAAGCCGTGGAAGCTGTGAGGCTGCTCACAAACGGGGTCCAGTCCAAAAGAGTCCAAACGAGCTACAGTCGGTATGTGCCGAGCGCATCAGGCTCCCAGGGCAAAGATGTCAAAGAAGCAAATGGGAGTTTCCGAAAATAGGGGACCCTAATATAGTACCCTCAATAGTAGGATCCTTGTTATAAGGACCCCAAAATGAGGTACCCCTAATTTTCGGAAACCCCCAAATCTGTACAGGGGGCCAGGAAACGGGTCGGGCAGCACAACAGCCCGAAACCGTCGTCGCAGGCATCGGAAAAGGCCTGCATGGAGGGCAGTCGGAAGCCGTCCGGGCACATCATCCGGAGGAAATCCCCCTTGTCAAGGCAACCTCATCCGCAAGCATTTCGCGACTTCAAGGCTTTCTTGGAGTTGCAATGAGCATGACTCTAGATTTGCAGTATCTGAACCACACTTTACGATGTGTGCAGCTACTCGTATTCAGAGTTTTCGCTCGCGAAAGGGAGAACGGGCGTGAACGGCTCTTTGAAGTGTCAGGAGGTCTCTCGGCACTTCATAGCCTTTATCTGCTGACCCAGGAATATGGGATGGTGACGCCTGAACAAATCCCCCGGTCCGCTGCAGCAGAAACAAACAGCAAACCGATGGCGGAGGCGCCATCTTCCGAAAGGTCGTACTTGGCAATGATGTCCTGCGAACTGTAACAGCTGGTGGCATGCGATGTCCGAGGCTTCGATCCAGTTGAGGCGATGGATTCCCCTTTCCCTGGGCCCTTCCCTGCGGGCTGTCACTTCACGAGGGCCAGGCCCAGCGACACCCAGACTGTGCTGACCCGAAGTCTGCTGTCCCGTGTCATCTGCTCGTCCCAGTCCCATCGGCGCTGAATCGCGGCGACTTCCACGCAGCCCGTGCCGAACATGTCCTGGCTTTGCATCTTATGACATTGGGACTTTAGGTGAAGCCATGTTTGCTGATACAGCATACATCTGACGAACGTATAGTCCCGTTCGTTTCTGTGAGAGTGCCTGCTACGCATGAACCAATCGGGGGGCTCCCTGACTGTTCGGCAGACTTGCCGGCCAAGTACGACAATGAAAAGCACTGACAAGCAACCAAGGCGGAGCAGGAGGAGAGGCAGGCAGGAGGAGGAGAATGGAAATAGCTTAGCATTTTTTGACTATGACCATGACTCCATGACAGTGGCCGATTGTGAGATGATGTGAGATGGTGAGATGATGATACCGGCACAATCATCATGATGCTGTGGGGGTATGCCTACAGCACGACGTGGGCACTCGCGCGAATAATCAACCGCCGGCTCGCCCCCTGCACACATACACTCACACCTACAACTGACTAGTGACTAGCAGCTAGCAGAGCACCACGACAGTACCACCACCTGCATCACTGCAAGAACAATGCCGACTAAGTAATTCCGTTCTCCCGCAGCCACAAGAAGGCCCGAAGAGCTCAACACAGACGCTGGTATGCCGCGCACAGAGAAGGCCTATGAGGATTGCAAGACAAGCTGCCATCTCTTCGAACTCCTTCTCTAAGCGCGCCTCTGCAGGACAAGCGCCGAAAGAATGAAGACAGAGGGTACTTCCCTTATGCCAGGAACAACACTGCCTGATCGTCGACGGGCAGGATCGGCATGGCATTCTTCTTTTCGAAGAGCGCGGCCGCTTCGGTGAGGAGATCCATCTGGAGCAAGTGTCCAATGAGGTCTAGAGTCTAGGATTTTTGACGTGGCACTTTCGATCTGCACCTTCGTGAAGGAAACTGGGACCCTCCTCTCGATCTGCCGCTTCGACGGATGGAAATCCAAGCAAACGAAAGCAGATGGCAGCAAGAGTCAGAGAAGCACCCAGAAGCACAAACTGTACTACTGGATGGGGGTCATGCGTAGACTGTCAGACTCTCACTGCTCTCTTGGCGAGGCCTCGGCGCTGCGCCGCTGCAGCTCGTCGTACTGGTTGCACCTTGGAGGATGCGAGTCGTGTTCGAGGCGAATGCGTGCAACCTGTGGATAGAATCCTCTGCAGCGCTAAAACTCAGAAGACTTGGTCTCCTGCCAGTCCTGGAATGTAGCGAGATGCTTGGGCTGGCAGCCCGGGTATGCCTCGACGCGACAGCATTCCGATGATCCGGTTTCGGAGATTTGCAAGTAACAGGAGTGAGCCGTAAGTGTGTAGTTACTATGTGGCACTTCACGGATGCACCCGGATAGTCGCAAAGTGTCATTCAACACCAGACCAGAAGAGTCCATTCCTCTTGCCAGCTGTCTAGGCCACCGGATAGACTCGTCTGAGCCACTCAGCTCCCTGTAGACGATTTGGGTTTGGGGCCTGAGGCTGTTCGGAGGAGGCCACATGCAGCGCAGGCGCCTGGCCTAAGCTACCGCTGTCGCCCCTGCCTTCTTCAGGAAGTGGAAGAACGTCGCCGGACCTGGCCCAGCAGCTCCGCTGAGTTCGTTACAAAGGAAGCGAATGATGGTCTCGCGCTGAGACAAGAAGCAGATTCGTTCATTGCCTAGAGCCCAGCCCTTGCAGTTTGGATCTGGAAGCCTTGTTCCGTTTGCATGTGTACTGGCTACGGAACAGAAAACGCCTGAGCCATGCATCTTCACGTTGCTCTGATTCCCCAACAGGCCATCGGCCGTTTCCGAAGATGATACTTCACACCTTTGCGAGAGGCTCCGAGCATGTGTATCCTGCTTGGGCCCAGGCTTCCTGTTTGACCCCTCACCCCAAAGCCAGAGTAGCACTAAGAATGTGCTCTGCAACGCTGACGACCAGCACCACCGTCCCCCCCCTCCTTTTCTCTTCAGCCTCGGAAGCCCTGAAGCTCCAACGTACGATGGTCAGCCTCGGATCTCATCGGACATCTTCCGCATGGCATCGCTCACGAGGTCCCAGAGGTCCGGCGTTAAGCTCCGCCGCAGCCCGTACCTTGGCTCAAGCCGTCTAAGAACTCCCCAGCTTTTATGTGTGCGGCGGAGCAACAGTTCACCACTGTTCAAGAACTCGGGGGGGTTTCATGCACCGAAAGGTGGAGACACAGAGAAAGAGAGGAGAGGCCGCGACGCTACGAAGCTGAAATCACAAGCCACGGCCCTGCATCCTTCTAAAACCCTAAACCCGATAACCCTAAACCCTAAACCCGACAACCCTAAACCCTAAACCCGACAACCCTAAAACCCCTAAAACCCTTAAAACTGATCAACACAACCACCCCCGGGTCCGGGCTGCTCCAGGTCCGAGAAGGTAAGCTGAAAGGAGCCCTCGGACTTGCCTCGGCGGCTGTCAGGTTTCGGGATGCTTTGGGGCTCATATTAGGCCCTCTTCTGGGGGGCTCATGGGGGCTCGGGAGCTTCTTCTGGAGCACGCCTCGAGAAAAGCAAGGCTTTCCAAAATGCCGGTGGGAGCCGCTGAGAAGCCAAGTACAGACCTGCCTTTCTGCCGGGCCCCGCACAATAGTTGAAGACGTCGCGCAAGAACAGGACCTGCGGAACATGCATGCAGAGCGTACCGTAGCACTATCTCAATCTGCGCAGGCTTTCGTCAATGAAATTCTGCAATACTGGCAGATCGCTATCACGATCTGTCAAGGCATGCACGCTCAGACCACAAACTACTGGGAACCGACCTGCAACCCCACAAATACAACTTCAAATGATTGGTCCCGCCGTGCTCGGCACTCAGAAGCTCTAAACTTTGAGGAGCCCTTGCATGACTTTACTCTTGTGGATATCTGTATCTTGCAGGGGTTCGCCTGCCACCTGGCAGGCAGCTTTGCGTCGTCTCGAGAGTCCAGCTCCTGGACACGAAGGGAAGCCACAGACACCCTTGGGGCCCAGCCGCTCTGGGTCAAGTCTTTCTGCCTTTCCGACAATGACAGGTTTGCGCCCGGGCCTTTGGCAGTTCCACCGCCTCTTTGTGAGAGAGGTGCCACTCCTCCAAGCTTTGCGGTTTGGGCTGGCAAGCTTGCGCACGGTGCTGAGGTGCCCTTACAGTAGGTGGTTGTGAAGCTAAGTGTGCTATGTAATGCATAGGGCCTGGCAAAACTTACCTTGCGAATTTGGCCCTTTTTCTCCGAGGACGAGACACTTACGGGCAGCAGAGACGTGATTATCGACCCCGACCAAACCCAACGGCGCAACATGACGTCCTCTGAACAGCATACGTACCCCCACATGGAGATGTGACGTACCCAGAGTGCCAGGATGAGAATTTCATTACCGGCCTGGGATCAATGCAATGCATGCCGCCTCAAGCACCAAGGCCGCGAGAATCCGGTCCGACTGAAAACAGCAGCTTGAAACTTTGGCCGAAAGAGCCCAACTCTCCAGGAAGCTGTGTGCTCAGGCGCCTCAGGCAATCCCCTTTCTTCAAGTCGAGATGCCAGACACGAACCCACAACCTTTTGGAAGCTGAACCGATGGTCACCGTCAAGCTAGCTCCTCGTTTTGGAGGTGGTACCTTGTGCGCGATGCTCAACCCGGCGCTTGAGTGCAAGAAAGCAAAGCCACATCAGCAACAAACCTCACAAAGCAGCAGGTCTCACACAAAATCCGGCCGAAACCGACGGTTGCCGGCTCATGGGAGTGTTGGCGGTTTGGACTCGTCACCTGTGGCTTTTGCAAGTAGTATATACACAGCTACGCATCCGAATCGCGGAGTCCACATCCTGTGGGTTTTTACCAGTCCTTGTTCTGCATTGTCGTGCCATGTTGTCTTGCTTCGTCAGAATTGGCTTCTACGGTTTGTCATTGTGCTCAGGACTACTTCCGCTTAGCCAAAAACACAACAAGAGTTATGGGAAATAAAGAGCTACACTCGCTGCTCCGTGACTCCGAGCGTTCCGCAACAGCATCCACATTCAGCCATACACGGCTGGCAAGCTCATGAAAGGAGACTCTGCCCCCAGGGGCACAGGTCCGCTCCACTGCCGCGGGCGCAGAAGCGCTCGAAGGCCAGGGCATAAGGCAGTGCCAGAGGGTCCTCAGCTGCAAAATCATCACCTCTACGACACTCCAGAGCAAGGAAACAACCTGGTGGCAAATTGCATGGAATTGTCGCCTCCTGCAACTTCATCGAGGGCAAGCGAGGAACTCAGAAGCGTTGACGGGCTCTGCTTCTGGTTCCGAGCATCCATGCTAGCACTCAGGAGATGCAAAAGCTTTTCGAGAGAAGGGCCTCTGAGAAGGTCTTAGCACGGTGAAAGGCTCAAGTGGGCTGACCATGCTTTTTGGGATGTCGCAGGCCCAGCTCGGCCGTATAATCTCACGGCATGCTTCTGCCAATGCGACTATAAGATTTCCAGCTTTCAAGATTCCTAAGCTAGCTATCTGAACACAAAGGGCCCCAGGCCAATATGACCAAAACTTGCATACAGGACCGCCATGATGGAAAGCACTAGCTACCACATCGCTATGCGTCTTTACTTCGAGTCCGGCTGTTGAATCTCAGGTCGCGGCCTTGTACTCCCGAAAGCACCAGGCCTGCGGGCGCATGCTCCCATGGTGCAGCTTTGGTCAGCGATGCTTCGGCTTCACTTGAAGATCCCTCCAAGCGATTCCCTGCCTCGATCGTGGCGAAGTTCAAGACCTGGCGAGATACAGAGCCCAGGACGGGCTCCTAAGCTGAGAAGAACCCTCCGTCGTGCCTGCCGGACAGCCACGCACTCAACCTCGGCTGTGGCTTCTGTCTTGGCGCCCACCAAACCCTCAAACACATGGCTCACGGATGCTCACGGAACGCTACAGCCCCAGAATCTGCCAGGCTACGTGCTTCGACGGCGTGCGTGGCATCGAAGTAGGAGGCTGCTCCTCCTCCAGCACCTACAGACGAAATCGGAGGTCACATGGATGAGAATGCTGTTCATGCTGAGACACACCATCCGCCGCATCCCACCTCGTCAACGGAGAGCTGCCTCTCCAGGGAGGCAGCTTTCGCGAAGTGCTGCTGCCGCTCCTTGATGGCCTGGCCCGGGTCCCCATGTGATCTATGATGCGCGGCATCCAGCGGGGCTGAGGCACGTCATGAGTCGCTATATCCGTATCCCCAACCTCGTGCCGCCCCTAAGCACAACCCGGCAAACCTACCAGGCCACATCCGGTCACTGGAGCAAGAGACTCCGGCAGGCTGCCCTTCAGAAAGGCTGGAATTCCAAGCCAGGCATATCAAACACATAGAAAGCAACGCCCCGAAACAACGGCTTTGAGGCCGAGGCCCTGGACCCTGGACTTCTACAAAGCCAAAGACGCTGCCGGTGCAGGTTTCTTGCCTTTTCTACTTGAAGTGCCACATACTCGCATTAGCCTTGTGGGGTTTTGGGTGTCCTTTGGGTATACTACAACCGCCCTAGACCATCAGGCACGGGTCCTGGATCAGAGCTGCCCGAGTCTCCTCCGCAGAGACGAACGCGGAAACATGGGCTTTGGCTTCGGGTTGATGGCTTTGCATGAGTTTCTGAGCGGCACCCTGCACAAGCCATGCACAAACCCCGAATACTCCGAAGCGACACACAACGCGCACAACCAGCACCTTCGGAACGGACCGTTGTCTTTTCCTGTTTGACTTTCGTGCTGATGTCCGGCGTACTGGATAGCGTCCTACCGCCTCATTATGCAATCTGCACGCCGATATCCAGCAAACAGGATATCACTCTAACGGCTCGATTCCCAAGCCAAAAAAACGACATGTTGGGTATCCGACAACGTCTTTCCAATGCGATGCACTGATTGCTTGCACTGCCAAGAGATCCCAGAAAGCTCGAACACGACTCGAGACGACCGTAGTTGCAGCATCTCCTTGGAAGCCGTCCGCGAGATTTTCACCAGCGCCTCTGCCGCCTTCGCCTCGGGAGGATCAAAAGCGCGCATGGCGATGGATCCGCTGTGCTCTTTTGACAGGGGGCACAGTCGCATCCTATCTCGGATAGAGCATCGCACATGGAGGCCTGGAAGTTTGGAGGCGATGCACTGCTGGTGTTCAACTTGCGAAATACAAGAGAATACAACATGGACCCAAAGATCTGTTGGTGGATAATGAACCCGACGAGAAATTCGAGCTGGCTTGGCGCTTGGTGCTAGCCAGAAGGCAGAGATCCGGTTGTAGAGGCGCCGCCCGATTTCGCCTTAGGATTACCGGAAGCTGGAGGAGCAACATGAAAAGCAATTGATCTTGCACGGTGCACATGCACGTGCGGATTGTACAGGGAAGGAATCAATACATCTCCACTCCATCCTTCCTTTTCCAAGGCACGGATGGCTTCCAGAGAAGGCATGACGCCGTCCTTCGACGTTGGGGTGTCGGCACTGGAGCTTGCGAAACGTCTAGTTCCCCAAAATGCCCAATTTCCGGGAAGCGAAGTCCTTCTGGGAGATCCCAAAGGCAGCGCCTAGCCCCCGGATAAAAGCAGTGATAAAGTTGACGAACTCACCTTCGTCTAGGGTGCGACCTGGGATTCAAGTGGGTGTGCGGCGCAGGAACCTTTTCAGCGGTCTGCCACGGGTTGTCTCTGTGATGCTACAGAACCATGCCTCCCGAAGGGCAACCGACAAAGCAGACACCTTGGATGATGAGCCTCCTTGGTCCTTTCGAACAGCGGAAGCCCCAGTCCCAACCATGGAAACATTATCGCCCTGAGGCTGTCATCCAGGTCGGCCATCCCGAAGTTGAAGCGCATCTTGTGCTTCCTCGGCTTGCGCTCGCGAATTCGGCGAAACCTCACAAGAAAACGATGGCTAACCCCCCCTTAGGCCCTTCGCTTTCAGTGACCCTTCGGCCCCTCCACCCTTGGCGAGAGCCAAAAGCAACAAAGTCTCGGTGCGATGATCTGCGACAGCATGACACCGGCGGTCCTTATCTTGCAAGACTTGCTGGGATTTCTGGCTCCAACGTCAAAACAACACCGGAACCACGGCTTTACTTGCCTTTGGGGAAGCTCGCAGGCGCAAGACGTCGCAGCCGTCGTCGTATCAGTCGCGGTCGTGGGAGTGGGAGGCAGTAGCAGCTCAGTAAGAGATGAGGGGTTGGTCATTGCTATATGAGTGTGAAAAGCAAAACACAACAACGTTAGCCACGAAATCGACCCATTTGGCCGGGGTTTGAGGGCGAAAGCATCAATCCAATCATCTGGCTCGCATAGTTCAGGCCCCAAGGTCACCGTCACCCAGATCCTGCCTTCAATCCAATCCCACCCACTAGGCCACTAGGCCCTAAAGGGTTTCCAAAATCCTGCAGCCCCTACTCTGCGATCCTTGCAAGATTTCCGAAACCAGTTTCTCTCGGCTAGTTCACCAGCCAACTGCCAAAGACCGAGATCTTGAGGTTTTTGACCGCGAAGCCACAAAAATCGAGGTGTCCCGGTAGACAACTTGAGGTGTCCCGATCGGGATCTTCAGGGATCTTAACCGCGATGCGACAAAACCTGAGGTGTCCCTCTCAAGCTAGTTCTACATAGAGAATGTCCAAAATTTCAAGCTGATGGCCAACATAGCTCGAAATCCTGGGGCTGTTTTGCTAAGGTGGCATCCCATTTTCTGAAGTCGGGAAACCTCCTTGCCAGAAATCACCCACCAAGAAACAAGAACACTCCAATGCCCGGCAGCAGTTCTGTGGCAACCCACTGGTTTCCCGGCGCTTTTTCCCAAGATGCTCTCGTTTTTCCATCTACGAGGATCGTAAGCTTCCGGGATGCTGGCTCCAATCCTCCATCGCTTCGCGCGGACTGTTGCAAACTTTTCTCGGAAGTGCAAAACAAAACCTATTTGGCCTGCCAGGGGCCTGCGAGGCCACAAATGCTATGCAGCCAGGATGCATGAGAGATACTACGGGGATCTTGACTCGCTGCCTGCAGGCATAAAATCGCAACGGTGAACAGCGAAAGCGATGCAACGACGTATGTGCGAGTTCCGTCGTTCAGAGTCGTAGGGCAAGGACGATGCAACTGTGCACATCCTAGAACAGCTTAGATGACAGGCTTCAAGGTGTTGCTTTCGTGGTGAAAGCTGGTGAAAGATGAGGGATAGGGCACAGGCTGAGGAAAAAGCTGACCTTCTACATCAAGCTGCATCTCCTGCATCAGCTTAGTCCAACCAAGCAAGTGTCGATTCATCCGGTGCTGACATGCTGGGGCGCCGGCAAGACGGCAGGCGACATTCCTTCTGCGTCGAGTTTTTTCCAACCTTGCGATGTGAGAGTCATGTACAGGACTCTGTAGAATCGAAGGAAGCGACGAACAGTACTTGTGGATTATTCTTCGTGAACGTTTGCTTCAAAACTCTGGAAACGCTGGTTGGACAACGAGAAAAAACCACGGTCCAGCTGTCCACTAGGACAAAGATGACGAGTGGATAGGCAACATACCGTATGCAGGGCTCCCAGCTGGCATCTTGGCACACCGGGCTTGATCATACTCGCCTGCCTCTGCCCTTCTCCACGACTCCCAATTCCGGACTCCTAGCCCGTCCGCCTTGGTAGTCGAAGAGCTTGCCTCGGCAGGCGACATAAAGACGCTCCACTTTGGGGACAACCTAGCTGCAACAAAGCTCTGTGGAGGGCTTGTGTGCTTCAGGGGCCCTGATTTTGGATCTGCAAAAGCATGCCTCATCATCAAGGAGTCCAAATCACTTGCTGCTCCAGAAAAAACCAACTTGTTGGAGTGATCTCGGATCCTGATCTCTACTTCCATTCCCGGGAGAGGCAAGCGGTTCAGTCCCTGATCTTGGCACTTCCTTGCTGCAGCCCAAGTGAATCCTATTATTAGCATATTGTCTATTGTTGATCAGAACATGGCATCTACCAGTACTGGTACCGAAGCGGTTGGCAGTAGGTGTGGGGAAGGTCTGGAGATTGTGAGACGCCTTCTGAGGCTAGGCAGTTGAAATTAGAGATACCGCAGAAAATCTCCGGCGACATCGCAGACCACTGCAGTCCTGTCACCGACGACACGAAGCCCCGAACACTTCGCCAAGATGCCGATCACCACAGATCGCCACAGAAACCACGCAAACTCTGTGTGTCAAGACCCTGCAGCTGTCCCCGGATCAGCCAGGGTGCAGATGTCCTTTAGACGGTGCCGTGGCATATTCAGAATCCTGGGCTCACCGTGGCAATGCGAGGCACGTGTCTCCATCGTTAAGTCTGCATTGGCTTGTGATACATACGCAGCACGTAGAACCTGAGAGAGACAGCGAAGAGATTTGCAGGCAGATACCGATCAGTGGGAGTCGTTGGGGGAAGCTGGATACAAGGTGGCCAGCTAGATGCGCTATGTCCATCCAGCCGTCGCTTTCAAGATCTGCTTGAACTTCAAGGCTAACCATCTATGTGAAGGTCCGTCCAAACTTCTCCGGGGCAGTAAGAGAAGCCAGGCGGCTGCTCTAATTCCACAAGATCTGCCTGCGAGGTTCGAGGCGGCACCGTAAGCCGCAAGCTTGGCAAACGAAAGACAGTGGAATTTGTGATCGTCGAGCTCAAGTCTCTACAGTTTCTTGAGGGTGTTTTACGGGGTGTCAGATCCTGCCTCTCATGTAGGGCTAGGGCGCCTAGGCCTGAGAGGAGGCCGTCCCTGCCGCTAGACTTCCAGGTCAGGTGTCGCCTGAGCCACTAAGCCACTAAGTCCCTAGTAAGTCCCTAAGTCCCTGAGCCTAAGCCCTAAGCTTGCTTTCAGAACTTCACTCCACGGCAGGCTTGATTCAGCTGGGCCCTGGCTGGGCCATCATGAGCTCCGGAGCGCTACCCCTCCCCCCGCTCCCTCTCCTGTCATCCTGAAGCGACAAAGTACCACAAAACCTCTGCCCTTTTACATGGCGCAAACCACGGCCCCAGACGGCTCCCAGGGCACCCTGTTCGGCGGCGCGGACTTGGATCTTCGGCCCATGTCCTGCCACCTCTCAGGGGATGCAGGGACTCAGGGCAGAGCCGGGCGCCCGTCACCCAGCCGCCCGCGCTTTCCCGAGGGAGCACAAAGGATCATGAGCTCTCAGAGCCGCCGCTCAGGCTTAGTTTGTTCTCCCTGCAGAGTCACTGTAGAGATCGATAAGAGTCTGCAACTCAGGCGACCTGTGGCCGTCGATGAAGCAGAATTGAAGAGGCTCCGCAGCACATATGTGTGGGGATGAAGCCAAGTCGTTTCACCACATGAGAACCACAATCTTGGCCCAAAGGGCTGGCACCGGTTCTACGGCAAATGCGAAGCCTGTTTCAGAAGTCTGACATCAAGCGCGCTTCCTGTGCCTTTGACCCCTTCGCCCCCAAGACTGAACTTCGGAAAACATTCCGTGCTTGAAGCAGTGCTTTCATGCGCCTCGGCTTTTCTGAGACTTCGGGTTCAGGGTGTAGAGTGAAGGGGCTTTGAAGTTTGTCTGGGTGGTAAAGATCTGCAGACGATCTGCTTGCAAGGATATGCTGCAGGAAAGAGGCTGAAACTCAACAAAGCACCCAGCCTGTTGTACGTCCTGACCCAGTACTCCAGTGTCCTTGGACAGAAGATGACAGAAGGTCGTTCAAATGCATTCTCATTCTTTCGTGCCTGGCTCACTGCATTCCCTACGCAGGCTCCAGTGTCCGATTGTGCCACGCTGAACTGAGCGGTTGATGCCAAGGAAATCTTCCAGTTCGCATGCCCTCCCTGCCGAGGCAGACTGTCTTCAGCGTGAGCTCAAAAACACCGAAGGACCGCAACTTCGGGGAACAATCACCTACGCATCGACAAGGCATGCCAAGCAGACGAAGATCCGATTGCTCAGCACGCGGAACTCGATTGCTGGGTCCCCAGTCAATATGGTCGACCAGAAATCACCTTCGCTCTTTGCACATGCCGGAGATCGATGCTGCCATCAGGTGACAGCTTGAATTAAGGGTTCTACGACGATTAATCATTGCGCATGTGACAAAAGACAAGCAGGCAGTGGACATATGAGGCAATGCACTCGCGCACATGCAGATCCGCACACATGCGCGCAGGCAGGCAAATATGCGGGTAGGGAGTATGCGCATAGACACATGCACACACGCACGTGTCTGCATAACCAAACACAAACGAACAAGGTATAAATACGTCCGGCCAGGGTCTGGCAGTATCCGAACACTCCGCAGACTCGAATTGCACCCGTCCCGCTCTCACTGAAAGTTCTATCCAAAGCTTGAAACACCGGATCGTCAGTGCATGTGAAGCTGCCGTTGAACCGCCAATCCTCACACAAAGACGCTGCGATGGGACAAGCTGGCAGAAGCGTGTGAAGAAGCATGTGACGGCATGTCAAGTTTAGTTTCTGCCGGTTTACCATACTTCCGGGTTTTTGAACACTAAGGCAGGGACTCGTCGCTGTAAAGGAACACTGGTCACTACATTGCTCAAGCACCCACTCTCGCCCCTGAGCAAATTCTCCGTTCGGATTTCACTGTCGGACTGTACAGACCCAGTGCAAACTCAACCCAATTTAAGTGTGCACAGCGCTCATGAACGGCGCTTGCGACACCAAGTCGCTGCGAAACTTCCAACTGTGAGAGGGCAGGATTTGGGCGGTGATGCCCAGAGGCATTCCGCCAACCCGACATGATAAGAAAAGAAGCGCAGCACCCATGCATGTAGCGGCATGCATCGTCCAAACTGTAAGACATCAAAGCAACCGCGATGCTGCCAAGGTGCCGCCCATTCGGTTTGGATGGCTGATTCGATCTGATTTACAGAGCCTCAAAAGCAGCGCAGCAGTGCCGACGTTCAACCCCACGTCCGGATTCAACGGCGTCTGCGCGGTTGAGGCCAAGGTTTGGGGGGCCTTTCATGTGCAGCCCATGCAGTCGTGCGAATGCCTAGCAGCAAGTGTTTGAGGCTTCGCACTTGGAGAGGACATCGCAGCGCCCCTTCTGTTATTCTAAGAAGGAGCCAAGCCGCAGTTGATGAAGGAGAGGCGCCGGGTTTTCGGCTCCTGACCGGCGGCACTGGGGCGCTGTTTCTTCAGCTCCTCACTGGCCGCGCTCATGGCAAAGCACCGGAAGGCCCTTCGCCCAAGGTTCTCTTCTCAAGTTTGGGATTTTGGGCTTGGGTCGGCTGGCTGGGGTTAAGGGGTATGGGCTTGAAGTGGAGTGGGCTGGCGGCTTGGGGCTCAAACTCGGAGGTAACTTGGCTTCGTGGTAGAGACGATGGCACCGTTGCGGGTTACGGGTTGGGGGCTTCGGCGACTGAGCTTCTGATCCCGTTTTGGGGGCTGCCGCCTTAATGAACAGCTTTGAACCCAAACATGCGACACCGGCCAACTCCTCTCGACAAGCCAGTAAGGCCGTGACAGCAGGCCACGCTGCTCTGACTTGGGGCCACGGGGCCTCGTTCTGTGTTCACATAATAATACCAATAATACAAAACAACTACCTAATAATGATAATAAACGTGATATTTTGTAAATAATATCTGGTCACCCTGAACCTTGTGAAAGCGTCTGAGCATCTCCAGCCGGCATCCTTTGGGACGGCACTTCTCGAAACAACACCAAGACCTCGCGGGAGCGCGCAAAGAACCTTCCGACATCCGGAGTTTGGGATTCAGCATCTGGGTAGCAACTTCCGAAGTTGTTCGATCCCAAAATCAAACTTGGGCAGCGCGAAAATCAGAAAAAACAGTCACGTTTTAGTGCCAGTGCTACTATAGAATGTTGGAAGTCCCACAACAAGACACATTGGACACATTCACATGCAACGAACTGGTGCCTCGCTTTCGCCCGCCTGCCAAGGTCTGCCGCGGAACGCGACGGAACACGCCGACAAACGGGGGTGAGACGCGACTCTGCCACAGGTGCACGGTCTGGTGGCACTAAACCGTGGCATAGAAAGCTAGGGAGGGACCCACGAGGATCTTGAAATTTCATCCTGGCGGCGGCCACCAGGCAGTGCACTCGTGCAGAAGCGCAGAACCGGTGTCGGACACACAGCAAGGGTGCGTCCAAGCATCAGAAGGCTTCCTGCAGGGGACCGGGGAGGATTGTCAGGAGAACGGATCACCACTTTCTTTGAATAATCAGGGACCTCTAGGCAACAGCATCGCTATCGATGGCTGCAAGAGCCCTAAACTCTCAACCCCCTTCACAGCATCTCATATAGGGGCCTTAATCATCAGAACAAGGCTCGGGGCTATGGTATAATCTGCAAAGGACTACTGCTTAGAAACTATACAAACATACGTTTGGCTGAAGAAGAGGCAACCTCGGGTTGCTCCGAGAGCTCTTGCCCATAGGAAAAAGCCTTGACATGCTGCTGGACCGAGCATGGAGCAATCGAGCAGAGACGCGAATCCCAAGGACTGCGAACTGCCGTTCACAGACACCTCCGACGACTTGTCTAGGAGCGAAGCCAGGTAAGACAAACGTAACACCGATGATGCAACAGCTGCAACAAAGAACTGTCACCACCACCACCACCACCACCACAACCACAAGATACCACAAGTACTACATAACTACCCCCACCCCTACACTCTCCTCTCCCGGAGGCTGCAGGAAGCCTTAAAGCTGACGCTGTCGACTCAGCAGGACTGTGAGTCCAAGTTCGGCCAAGGCGACTTCCGTCGAAGGCTAGGGCTAGGGTTGCGTAGGGCCGGGGTGCTACAAGTAAGGCTTCTCAGGGCTTTAGGAATGCGGTGTTGAGGGATGTGCGGCGGCAACGTCGGACTTTGAGTTTAGTTTCGTGTACGATTCGACAAGCCATCTTCCTACCGACCTTGGGATGGCGAACCCATTGTAATGCATGCGTGCGGGCTTTCGGGATTCCAAGGCCGAGGATGGCCCAGCACGGCCCTGCGTGGGCCTAGCTACGTTTTCACACCGGCAGTGTCTGGTTTCCAGGTCTGCCGGGATTCCAATCAAGGTTCGTGAGTATTGCGAATGAAGCAATGTCAGTGAGTTTAAGAGTGTGTACTGTGTAAAGTAACAGTAGCAGCAAAGCTGACAATGATTGAGACCATCTGTGACAAGATGTCCTCCCCAACCGTGCAAGATCACCCAAACACAGACGCAAGGATGCCGACGAGGAACCTCGATGCACAAATTTCCAGCAGCGTCCGGGCCAGGACTCACTTCTTGCTCTTGGTGCTGCCGCTGCCCCAGAGACTGAACCGGGAGACCTCGCCAAGCCGCCAATGCAGGAAGTTGAACGCTCATGCGACGTGATAAGTCGGGGTGGAAGGCAGCCTTGTGATTCTCGCCTTGCTCCGGCTTCTACTGTAGGGCTGTAATGCAAGCTTTCTTCCTTTGCCTGCCAGAGCCTTTGCAGTTGGTTTGCTCTTGAGAACTCAAACACCTTGAGGGTGACGATCGGCGCGAAGTTGTGAAGCAGATGTCGTTGCAATGTGTCTTTCGGGGTGCAAAACCAGCAGGAGCGCCGAAACTCAACTGAAGGCCTGTTCCACGTCCCTCGATCTCAAGTTCAGGGACCTGCGAAGCGAGTCCCGCAAAGAAACCGAGTTAGGTCCCAACGAAACACTCATCTGCCCGAAGTTCTGAAGCCCCAGAACAGTCCTGCGGTTATGGGGTGTGGGTTGTTTAAAGGTTTTGGGGTTTGAGGGTTGAGGGCATGTTGAGGGCTATAAGGGTTCACGAGCCCATCACTTCCCACATGCGCAGGCCTTTTTGGTTGCAGCATTAGCGGCTGCGGCAGCCTTTGCATAAAGCAGGCATGGTCTGCTCCCTGGGGTTCAAATGAGACAGACAGACAGAGTGTCTTAGCCTCTTGCACGTTGTTGTGGCTATTCCAAAGGTTGGAGGACACTCAACACCAGAAACTTCGGCGCAAGTACTGGAGACTAGAACTTCGAAGGAATCCAAATGCACGGGACAGGACGGGCATGCAAGACAGCCCGTAATGGCTGCATCGCGTCTTGGTTTTCACTCCTCTGAAACGGGCCGGGGCGGGCCAGGACAGAACGGAGCCGCAACAGACCGCCCGGCTGAAAGCATCCCGTACACAGCCCATGTTTGGGCCATTGAAACCGGACCCGAAACCAACAGCCCTCTGGACCGACTTGAAAGCAAAAGATAGCCTTGCGGAGGCCTTGTGCTTCTCCGAGGTGGTGCTCCGATTCGAGGGCGACTTCTCTTGCGGAGGCTCATCCTGGGCATCTTCGGGCTCAGAGCTCTAGGCTTCCAGGGCGCAGGCAACCCGCTTCGGTAACTTCAGAGATGGAACAGCCGTCGGTTTGGCCTGCCAACAACGATGAAGGCTGTCACATCTTCAAGAAACGTTGGAGGGTGCTCGCGCTCCTATCTGCTTCCCCTAAAGCTGACTACATATGTGATAAGCGGATGATGGCTCGCGCCATGTAACACTGGCTCACCATGGAGACTTCTTCTCGCAGAGCTTTGCCGTGGATTGCAGAAAGCTGCAATGAAACTGGGGAAGGTGGGAGGGGGCCTCAGAAGTTCATGCAGAAATGCGCGGGGCGGCCGTGAGTACCTCTCTCCCTCGCATCTTCCAGCATGCTCGTAGCGAGGCCCGGGCGCGGGGCGCCGCTGCTGGTGGCGTGGCGACCGCTGAAGTGGACGCCTGCATCAAGATCCGTCGGCCATGCCGTCGTTTCAGCCGCTTTCTGGCCTCCGGCTTGGCAGCCGTGTCGGCAACCGGAGCTTCCGTCGCCTGGGACCATAAAACGAATTTTGCCGGCGATGCTAAGAAGCGGCTCGTGCGACCTGGTTTTGTCACCTCGCATCACCACTTTACGAGAAAGCCCTAGAACTGGGGATGATTGATCGAACTCCTTACCTTTTGACAAGAGGCTGCTGGTGATTCCTCCAGTTCTATTTGCCAATACACGGGGGTCCCAGAGGATTGCGGTTGCTTGCCGTTTGTAAGTCCTCAAATTCCAAGCTTACGGCGACTATCTGTGACCATGCTACCTGAAGCTGGGCTGCCGCGCGAGAATGCCATGATCTTTGCTTAACTCCGTGCTGAGCAACCCTGTACCCCAGCAGGAACCATGTGAACGAACAGATGGTTGGAGCGCGAGGACGGCACTCAAGAGCTCTGCACGCCGGCGTCTTGAGTTTTCCGGAAGACTCCAGATTCTTTGGTGTTGCGCAGCCACTTCAAAGCTGTTGGACACAAGCGAAAACTTAGAGCCCTCGAGCACTCAGCTGATTCCGCCCGCGCTTCAGTTGGGATTCGGGCGCTACGAAAGCTGTCACCACTCACCACACAACCGTGGCGTTATATCTGCGGAGTCTTGTCTTCTTCCTTGAACCGATCCGCAGGCCGAGATGGCTTGATGCAAGAGGACGACACTCGATGATGCCAGAGTCACCACACAGAGTTCGATAGCACGCGGGTCACCATGGAGACTTCTTCTCGCAGAGCTTTGCCGTGGATTGCAGAAAGCTGCAATGAAACTGGGGAAGGTGGGGGGGGCCTCAGAAGTTCATGCAGAAATGCGCGGGGCGGCCGTGAGTACCTCTCTCCCGCGCATCTTCCAGCATGCTCGTAGCGAGGCCCGGGCGCGGGGCGCCGCTGCTGGTGGCGTGGCGACCGCTGAAGTGGACGCCTGCATCAAGATCCGTCGGCCATGCCGTCGTTTCAGCCGCTTTCTGGCCTCCGGCTTGGCAGCCGTGTCGGCAACCGGAGCTTCCGTCGCCTGGGACCATAAGACGAATTTTGCCGGCGATGCTAAGAAGCGGCTCGTGCGACCTGGTTTTGTCACCTCGCATCACCACTTTACGAGAAAGCCCTAGAACTGGGGATGATTGATCGAACTCCTTACCTTTTGACAAGAGGCTGCTGGTGATTCCTCCAGTTCTATTTGCCAATACACGGGGGTCCCAGAGGATTGCGGTTGCTTGCCGTTTGTAAGTCCTCAAATTCCAAGCTTACGGCGACTATCTGTGACCATGCTACCTGAAGCTGGGCTGCCGCGCGAGAATGCCATGATCTTTGCTTAACTCCGTGCTGAGCAACCCTGTACCCCAGCAGGAACCATATGAACGAACAGATGGTTGGAGCGCGAGGA